ACACACACACACACACACACACACACACACACACAAAATCCTCCTTTGGGATGGAGATGTAGCTCAGGACCCTTCAGGGCTCAACTCAAACTCCAAGCTCTCAAGCTCTAAGAGACCATGGAGACTTTTCCCCCAGGTCCTACAGTCCTGTAGAGGCTCCAAAGCAACAGCGGTTCTATTACTGTATGTCTGTGCCTTCCCAGACTTTAGATTTGCAGTTCCACTGAAGCTAAAAGCCTCTGTCATCTGTGAACCCAGATGCAACAAGTGTCCACACAAAGGATGCTGGGGAATACAAGGTGCTTCAGCCCAGCATTTTTAGCTGAGAGTTCATTCTTAGCTGAGCCTCCCCTCTGTAAAATAAGGATAAATGCTCTTTGGTCAGTTGGTAGCAGAAGAAATGAAGCTGCCAAAGCAAACAGATGTGTACCAGTTTATGGCAGTGTCAGGATAAACACTTCAATCCATCATGCAAGCAGTGTCCAAGGCACAGCCTAAGAAGCTAACCAGGAACTCCTTTACCCTGATATCACCTTGTTCTTGACAGGAAGTAATCTTTATGCTGCCCTTGCTGGGTACCAGGCACTATGTGGAGGGCTTGATCCTCACACCTTCTCTCGTTTGAACCCCACACTGCTAAAATAGTCTGCTAAATAAATTTTGTACACAGTGCTCCAGCAAACTCTCAATAAGGGCAGCTACTATTAGCCCTACCCAATATAATTCACAGAGGCATGGCAACACAATTGCATCTGGTATACTACTTCTACCACACAAGCCAAAAGGCAGCAAAACCAAAATCAAGTCTTGGTGGGAACCACTTGTATTCCACACATGGAGAACAGTACCTATAGATCATCCCATACATATCATTTTAAACAGATGTAGCTCTTTGCATGTGTCCATCTTTTAACACACATAGACACAACTATAGTCCACTGTCTTATATGAGTATATGTGTGGGTTTTTCTCACTTCTTTATCTTAGGATTCTTAAGATCAACACACTCTTCCTAAGTGCTGTGCAGGACTCCACCAAGTGATTCAGGTCATAATTTTTACAAATTTCCCACATTTTTATATTCTGGTCATTAATGATTTTTTGTTACAAACAGTGAGGCAACAGTTATTCTTACACTTCTATCTTGGTAGGTAGGAATACAATCCATATCATAAATTCTTAAAAATGAAATTGCCAAAGAGTTTAATTTCTAATATCTAAAGCTACAGTCAATTTTTCCAATATGAATGTTTCAGGGGTTCTGGATGTGAGGGTGATCTGGCTGGGGTATCTGTCACCCCATTGATCATCAGGGTTGATTCAACTGCTGTGGCTGGCTCAGCACATGACCCCTTCCCCCCTCAACGCTCCATGTGCGTCCCTCCAGAAGCCGCACACTTGGTCGAAGAGGACAACCAACTCCGACAGAGGAGGACCGTTCCCCGGTCAAGGGTAAAGGAGTAGCTGTGCTTCCCTACTAGGACCTCCAAACAAGCAGTCAGAGGTTTTAACCCTTTATGCTTCCCTGGCCAATTTGGAAGTGTCTGTTTCACCAAAAATTGATGCTCAGTCAATATTTACCAATCTCATTGGTAACACTGCTTCTAATGGTCATTACAACTTGCATATCTTTCCTATGAATCAGGTCAGGTAGTTTTGGTTGGCCTTTTGTACACCTCTTTCCTGCTTCACTGCCAACTTCTGGATCACTGACTCTCCTTGAAAACAGTCACTGAAAGATTACGAGGACCCTCAAGACCCCTCTAAGACCAATTATCATCTCATTATCCTGGTAATATTTGACACCACCAACCACCCCATCTTCAGTGGACCCTTCTTTCATGTATACTATTTTGGATCCCCACATATACAATCTGTCAATCTGCTGGGCTGGTCCTCCACCTCGGGCAGCAAGCCATTCTTCTCGCTGTGATCCTAGAGGACAACCAACTCCGACAGAGGAGGACCGTTCTATAGGCACTATTTTCCATGTGTGGAATACAGAGGAGGATCCAGCGAGTCCAGGATCTCGCTGGACTCCTTGACTTCTCACCTAAGATTCTTCAACAGATGTCTGTGTGCAAAAGGTTTCCAAATGACAGTCCTAGAATCATTTGAGACCTAAACCCAGGTTTCCAACCATCTACTGAACACTTCCAGCTAAGAGATGGATGTCATCCATCCCACAATTTTTTTTTTTTCAGTAATGGGGCTTGAACCCAGGGCCTAAGCCACATCCCCAGCAATTTTGATTTTTTATGTGGAGACAGGGTCTCACTAAGTCACTGAGTTGCCCAGGCTGGGTTGGTTCAAACTTTTGATCCTCCAAGTGCTAGGATTACAAGCATAGGCCACTATGCCTGGCCTCATCCCACAATTCTGATAACAAACCAAGTCAATACACATGGAGAATTCACTCGGCTCCAGACATTGAACTTGTCTTTGACTCTTACATGTGCCTCATCTACTATCTATCCAAGAGAGAATGCACAAAGCTTACCATCTGCTCTCCCTAATCAGTCCAGCTCTCTAAGCAGTAAACACCAGTTAGTGACTGTGCACACTTCCCTTCTTCCTGCTCCCATCCAATGAGCTGCCATGTCCTGTCGATTCTCTTTATGTATCTATCCCACCTTTCCATGCCCACTTGTGGTCTCAGACCACTGCTTCCTGACCTCCTGCCCCAATCCTGATGCCACTAGAGTTGTCTGGCAAGTACAAACATATATCGTTAGGCAGGTATTTAGTAGTGAGTCTGAGGGACAAATGGGGGGGCAGTCCTCAAAGAGCATGCATTGCCAGTTGGGTAAAGACACAAATACTATTTATAATACATTATAATCATTTCTTAGGTCTCAGACCCAAAGTGATCCCACAGAGGACACTACACTTATTTTAATGGTACACACTGTATAGAGGCCTTCCAATACCTGGCTCCCTGGCCATCTAATTCCAGAAGAAAACACACTGCATTATTGGCTGCCATGGCCAGCAGCCCAGTGATATCAGGAAAGAAAATGTTCTTCAAAGACACACCTGCCCTGGGCTGGGACCTGGTTTAAATGAACAACTTACCTTTCTTAAATTACCTTTCATAAGTTTCTTACATGATTAAAGCCTCTGAGGAAACACTGACCCTCTAAACAGGACAGGAAGACATTTTGCAATTCCAAAGTAACTTCTAAGTAAAATGTCGATAAACATCCTCATTACCCTAGTTCTACAAACTGAAGGAGTAACTTCTGTGTGCATAAAAGTGTACTCAAATTTGTACTCCATGTCCGCCTTCTGCCTGAAGGCAGAATGCTTAGTTTATCTACTTTACAATAAAGTCTACCTATCCCTGGGCACAACCCATGTGTCTTGATTGAATTCTTTCAACAAAGGCACGAAGAATGGAGGACAAGGAAATGAGGGGCCAGCTCCTCACTTCCTCAGGACCTGGCTTCCAGGTGACATCAATCTACCTGCTCAAAGTGCCTGGGCTTTGCACTTGTTGCCTGGTACCCCTCCACCAACCTGGGCTCAAGGCCTGTACTGCAGTGGCGTGAACTCACAGCATTCTCCCACAGGCCAAGTTTTATGAGCGTCACATCAGCATAAAACATCTCCCTTCCCAGACAGTGCACTCTGAAGGGACACTTTTATACCAGACCCCACTCACTGTCCCCTCCAGACAGCACCCAGCACAATGCTTTGCCCTTGGGGGATGCTTAATAAATGCTTTCTAAAGTTATCCAATGCAATTCTGTATTATGTGCTCAAATTATCCCAAAGAAGACTTTCGTATATGTGTAAACCCATAGGAAAGAATAATCTTTCTGAATCATCAAAAAGACTTTGAGGTCTGTTTACCTTGTACGACTGAGTGTACAAATAAACATAAATAACTTCTTAGAGATTAAAAATGTCACACTCTTCCCTTAAAGCCTTTAGAAGTAACCTGAAAAATCACACACACTGATTTCAATAACCACTTGTTTTCAATGGTTACAAATCAGCAAGATGCCTCCCTCCTTCCAAACAGAAAAATAGATTCAGATGTGTCATATAAAGTCCTCGAAATATCTTGATTTTATGGTCCTCAGATGCCCTAATCAGCTGTTGTTAACTTCCATAATTTGGCAGCATGACTAAAGGAGAAAGGCCATATGCTAAGGCGAATGTCCAACAACTGGTTGAGAAGTCAATAAAAACAAACGCCTTTGTGAACTGCGCCCATCAACTTGGGACATCCGGGTTAGAGCCACTTCATTCTTTATAAAGTTAAACCAAATTAAAAAGTAACTTTTCCAAAGCATTTCTCTAAATGGGTTATACAGAGGTTACCAGGAAGCACGGGTTATTTTTCAGTGAGTGAACAGTGGAACCCTTCTGAAAAGCATTACTTTGTAGAAACATATAACAAGATTAGATTTCAAATGTGCTCAAAACTTTTTCCCCCTTAATCAACATCAGCACTAGTTCAAACACGTGTGTCAGCGTCCTTGACTTTTTCTCTAAGAGGCAAAACTTTGTTGAAGTTTCCCCATTCTCCCTTTAAACAGAAATTCGGAACTAAATTACGGATTACAAGTTAGGGTCAACATTCAGCGACTGCGAACCACCTTTCAGAGATTTCAAAGTAACATGGTTAGTAGGGAACTTCTGAGGTGGCCCTGGCGAGGAGTGTGCCTGACAGCTGGTGGGGTCCGCTTTCCTGTGTCCCCTCGAGTAGTTCACATCCTCATGGAAGCGCGCCATGGAAGGTTTTTAAGGAAGGGGGCGAGCAAACCCAAAGTTACTGGGATGGGACAGTTTATGGGATCTTCTCCCCGGGCTGGTGAACTCTCTGTCCCCGGGCCCCCTCCAGGGCTGTGTGACAGGGACAACACAGCACGAAGTCCTGCAGGGCCCCAGAGGCCACGGCGCGGGCCAGGGGGTCCCAGGGCTCGCCCGGACGCTGAGTCCGCCTTTCCCGGTGGCGGCGGAGAGGGTGGGGGGCGCGCGGCCCCACTCACCTGCGATTCATGGGCCGGACTCTCACGGCCACCTTGACAGATGCCATAGCTCATCCCGCCCGGGCCGCGGGGGAATCACACCAGGCAGACACCCGGGGGCCTCCGCGACTCTGGCGTCCGGGCAGTGGCCCCCGCCCACTTACTAGCCTTTGCCCCCGCCCCTCGGCTACCTCCAGACCTGGCGTCTTGCGGCGGCCCCACCTGCCGGGCCACTGAGCATGCGCAGATCCGCTCCAGCCCGTGGAATCCACTCTCCGAGTTTTTATGCTAACCTGGAGGGAGGAGAGGGGACCGGTTGGGCAGAGGGCGGGCCGGGCGTGTGGGGCGTGGCCGAGAGGACAGGGGGCGGGGCCGGGAGAGCAAAAGACAGAGCAGGGTCGCCCCCAGGAAGTGGCCAGGTCAGCAGCTCAGCCAAGTAAGCTACAGTCCAGGGTCAAGGAGAGCGGCCGGGCGCGCTAACTGCAGGGAAGCTAAACCTAGCCTCATCTCCCCTAAAAACCGGAGAGGAGAGGATCACTGCACTTTAGGGCCAGAGCAAAGACCTCAATCTTGGGGACTGATTACCAAAAGCAGGGTTTTCTACCATTCACAAGGACCTGGCTTTATTCCGCTGTATGTGAATTAGCAGCCCAGTGACTTTACAGACTCCGAGATGAGACTCCGAGTTTGTTAGTGCGCAACCCTACCAGGGTCTTCTCCTCTAGTGTAAGAAGTTCCAAGCGTGTTAACTGTGGCACCAAGAAAACGAAAGGGGTACTGGATGTGACAAACGCAAGTGGGAATGTTGTTACATTGGCTGGAGCCAGACCTTCGTGGGAGTGTCTGCATTCTTGTTAAATTTGCAGTTTCGGTTTAATCACAAGGGAGTTTGGGTTCCCATTATAGGTGAGCTCCCGCCTGGCTGCCTGGCTGCAGAATGTAAACTCAGGCACCTTGTATGCATTCTTCCACACCGCCCAGGAATCCACCTGCGAGCCACAGAGTTGAGGTCACACGAACCCCTGGGAGCTGCTTCCGCTCAGTCTTCCTCCTGCCTCTCCTTCCTGGCAGCCCAGTCCGAGGCCGCCGCCCTTCCAGCTGCCAGACAGGACTTGACCAGCTCCTGGGAAGCCAATCTGTGGGCGGAGGTCAGGGTCCGGAGCTGGCAGTTGGGCGCCTCTAGACCTCTGTCTCATCTGTGCATCGGGACAAATCCCTGGGCTGAGTTCATGCGTTAATGCTAAGGCTGAAAGCACGTAGCCCGCTCAGACCAGGAGTCATTACTTAATCACCATCCTCAGAACCCTGTGATCGGTTTGAATCACAGCATTTGCTTTGTTTCCAGAACCCTGGAAATCCTGGGTTATGCCCCTTGGAGAGCATAGAGCTGGGAGCAGGTTCCACCAATGGGCGGTTGGAAAACTCGGAATGAGGATTTCCGGACCGGGTGGTGGATCAAGCATGCGCACTAGCAGCAGGGTGTTTGAGAAGCAGCGAGGGAGCCCATGCGGAGCTGGGAGGCCGGGGAGAGGGCGGGGCCCATCTTATATGGGAGCTGCGTAGGGACAAACCTCGTGGGCTTCTCTCTCGCGAGGCGGTGTCTCGACACGCCCTAAAAGCAGCTACGGACCTTGTGCGGCAGACAGCGAAAGGTTTCCTTCAGGACACAGAACGCTTCTGAAGAGGCTTCATCACGCAATGAATCTAAGAGTACAAGGACTCCCTTAGCAGAAACTTTCTTTTTGGAGAATGAATAAAGTTTCTGAAAAGGATTGTGAAAGGCTTGTTCATTGTTCTCAAACTCTAATGTGCACGCTTTAACATATTTTGCAAACTTGCTACCAATGGGTAGCAGCATTCAAAGTTCCATGTCGTGGAGCAATAAATAGCTAGGTAATGAATGGCTCCAGCTTTAGCTTTTTAAAACTAAAACCGTTCATTATTTCTCACGATTTTGTAGGTTGCTGATCTCGCCTAAGTTATATGGCTGGGTTTGGGTTCAGCAGGAATGGTGAAAAGCTGATACCTCTCTCATCTTCAAAAAATTTAGACCATATTTCTTCCTATGGGAAAACAGCCAGAGCACAAGTCTCTGTTGGTCTTATTGGGGCTTTGCCTTGCTCTGCTGTGCTCTGCTCTGTTCTGCTTTGCTTTGTGGCAGTACTAAGGATTGAACCCAAAGCCTTCACACTGAACTGCGTTCCCATCACTGCCACTATTCTTTTTATTTTTTAAACTTCTTATTTTGAGTCTCCCTAAATCACAAAATTGCCGAGACTGGGCTGTAACTTGCAATCCTCCTGCCTCAGCCTCCCAGAATTCTGGAGTTGCTATTGGAATCACATTTGCTTACGTCCAGTTGACCAAAGAAGTCACAGGGCCAAGCCCAGCGTCAGTGCGAAAGGGAATACTCGCCACTAGAAGCACTTGGGTACTCCCAAGAGTCGCTAAAGAAATAAAATCTTATATGGTTCAAGAATTTGTATGAGGAAAAAAAAATAACATCTTTAATTGCCCCTAAATAAAATACATTAATTTTAGCAAAACTTGAGACTTTCATGCTTCCAGAAATCACTGTTATTTGAGGGTTAAAGCAGAATTGGTGTTGTGCACTCAAATTATTATTACACTCTGATTGCTTTGCAGTCTTTTTAGTTATTAGACTGCCACTGGAACTTATTTAATATAAGCACTGTATGACCCCATAGTAAATTAATTTTTCCAACATTTTGATAGTTGTGTTTCAATGTAATTGATTTTCCTTTTCATATCATCTGTTTTATTTTACGTATTTAAAAATGTTACTCTGAAACTTGCTTTTACTAAAATAGCCAAAGGGATCCTTCTCATAAGAAAAATTAACAACTCATAATTTAGAAATTTAATTGAAGGCAGAGGGCATTTCTATTTAAAAACAATGAATTGTGATGAAAAACCAAAATGAGAAGATCCTAAGACCTAGTTGAAAACCAAATGGTATTAAATAAAAATAGAACATTAACTCGGTCGTCAGTAAGGAATGAGTATGTGTGCAAATTTACGCATATATGAATTGATCTTTGTTTATTTCTGGACTTGTATTTCTTAAATGTTTAGCAATGTCATTCTCCCCAAAGTCCCTGCATTTTAGCTTCTTCACTTCAGAATGAGATAGCACTGCAAGAGAATGTTCTTTCTGCCTCAAAACATTTGCATCATCTGGAAATACTATGCTCAGAAGAAAAAGACTACATCCTCATCAGCCTTGCTGTTTACTTTCTAGACTGTAAGGAATAAAATTGATTTACTCTTTCACAAACATTATTTTTTTAAAAACCTTATTAATTATAGACAGGCACATTTAATTTGGGACAAGACATAACTGATATGTCATGAACCCATTTATTTTCCTCTATGCTAGAAGCACTGACCATAAGCATTATTCATGCTGAACACTTAATATCTCCATATGGGATAGCTTATACTGAAGGACTTCTGTTGAATTTAGGAGCTATACAATGAGCCAATGGACAAAACAAGTGTTCTCCTGATTTTCAAACAAATGTATGTTAGTATCAGAGACAGAAAGCATAGATGTCATATCCAAATCCAGCAGTTTTTGTTCTCTAAGTCATAAAATTTATAACCTTCTAACATACTAAACATTAAAATTAAAAGTAGTTTGAAAAGTGCACTTGGGAGCCTGAGAGAAAATTTAACCTCCAAAATAACTGTAAGGCTAATAGCAAAAATCATACTTAGTAATTTTGATAAAGCTATGAGCAAGATCCATGAATGCCAGCATTCTCTTACAGCAAAGTGAATGAAGAAATCACAGCAGATTCAATTTAATAGAAACGATCACCGTAAATCATAGTCATTTTATATACTAAGATGAGAAAGATTGTTTTCAATTGCATATAACTATACCTGTGGTCACAAATTGTTCAGAATTGATGGACTTTATAAATCTGTGGCAGCATTTCAACTTCTTATGAGTGAGAAATCACATTGGGTTGAAATGATAGGGGAAAGTCTCATGTGTTCATTAGTGCTGGAAATGGGCGTTGAAGAGGGATGGAACTGAAACAGCCAGGATGGAGGCACAGAGTGACTTCTGAGACAGAGGAAATAGTTTGAATGAATGTTCAGAGTTGAGAAAGCACGTCCAACCCCTGGAATAGTGAGAATGCCTCTTCACCTAAAGCATCCTATGGGAAGCTTAAAAATACATGTAGGGGCTAAGGATGTAGCACATTGGTAATGCTTTTATCCAGCATGTATGAAGGGCTAAGTTCAACCTGTAGTACAGATAAATAAATACGTCATGAATTCTTCCCTACCCTATGCATAAGCCTCAGTGAGCCACTCGGAGCCCCACTCACAAGTGCAATCTCTCTCTCTCCAGCTTTTCAATACAGCACCCCTGTAATTCGCTTTGATCCACAGAATGCTACAAAATTGACTTCACGATATTTCTAAGCCTTAGCCTCAAGAGGCCTCAAATGCTTCCCAACTCATACTCTAGGAACCTCCCGGTTGCCATGTAAGTAAGCCCAGTCCAGCCAGTTGAGCGATGATGTGCTCATCAGCAGACCACCTGTAAGAGTGAGAAATCCCAGTGTAACCACTAGACTGACCTGCAGTCTTACAAGAAATAAGTGGGTGGCTATTGTCTGAGTCATTTGGTTCAAGGTGTGTTTGTTGTTGCTTACATCCAAATACATCCCATATTATATAATAAAATAGGGCAATTCAGAAGACTTTATAACCACATTGAAACATAAAAACCAGTGAGCTAGGGCCCTACTCAAGGGCCTTTAGAGTTGTGGCTGGGAGGTAATGAAGTCTTCATGCTTATTCCTTAGCGTATATACACATGAGGAGACTGAAGCTCAGACAGGCAATGTAAGTGTGGAATTTAAATCAATGAAGCAGATTGATAGAACCAAGTTAGTGCTCTGAACACGTAATCTGTATTCCCATCTCCATACCCAGGGTCCAACCAAGCAAGTACGGTGTCTGTCTTCCTCTCCTCCATGTAGTTCTTTCTTTGCTCAATTCTACCTTCCTTAGTCCTCCTCACTGGCTATCAGATATGATTTTTTAGAAATACAGTAGTTTGAATTTTTAAAAATTTTTATTACAGTAAAAGACACATTGCCATGAATCTGCCTCAAAACACTCTCCCTCGCTTCAAACACAACTTGTCCTATTATTCTTGCCTGAAACAGTTCCGAAAGTTCTCATTGATGAGTGTC